CGTCCTACTGTCCACTCGCACGGTCCCACCCACGATGCATCATGCACTCACTATGCATGGTGCGTAGCATTCGTCGGAGTCGCAGCGAGTGCGGCAGCGTCAACTGTGCATGCATGCATTTAGCAGAGTTTGCAAAGCCCTAAGCCCGGTCCTAGGCCCGACGCTCGAGCTTGCGGCCCTGAGGCTTGAGATTTTGAAACTGGAGGCTTTGAAGCGTGGGGCCTGCGGATGCTGCGGTTTGGACATAAAAACCACTTAGTGACCTATACATAACCGAACTGGACAGGAATAGCATGCTCGCCGCTAGTACTCGGACTGCTCGCACGAGTATCGTTGGATCCAGCCTCTTCCCGCTTGAAATGCGCACGCCGCAAAGCCATGCTCGATACGTCGGGCTCGGTGATAGTAGCGAGAGATACCAGCCACAAAGGCCTGACTATCGTCGACACACAGGCGTGCCACTGTCATGGGGTCATGACGGTGCAACAGACATAGCAATGTGGTCATGGATGCGTAACCATAGTCAGAGAGGACGCACAACCAAGCACTGGCACGTCCAACACGGCGTTGAGTATTACGACATGCTGCCTCCATGTCAGTCTCGTAGCCGCGGATCGGATAGATCGCAGGGCGCTGAAGTTGATAGTGATTCCAATAGCTGGAGGAACTTTGCACTTAGCTGTTTGCAATTGCGACATCACTAATACGGGCGTATGCATTATACGGCAGCGGTCGCATCAACCCTCACGATTCAAGTTGACTAACACCTATGACTGAGGTTATCGCCAGCCAATCCATACGCAGCAATCAGCCTACTAATCAGCGCACCGAATTCGCAGGCGTCACAGCGGGTGTCAGGAAGAACCATTGACGTAGTTGGAGAGTTCCGATTCCGTATGTCGGATAGCGTCCGGGCAAAGCTCGTTATCCAAGCTTCTTGCAGCAGACACCGGGTCCCCGACCGCCCAGTACCCACCGACCACGTGGACGAAGCGGTGAGCCAGGCACCGAGAGGTGGAGTGTGTGTTCATTAAGCCTCGCGAACAGTGGCGGATTGCAAGCGTAGTAGTAGTTGAGTGGTCCATGGTCACGATCCTTTGCACCCGCTCTTCATCTCGTCTCGCAACGTTCAAACCTTCATGCAGCCGCTGCGACAGGCGTGCGTCAGAAATCCTCCCGAAGCCAACCTCATCAACAACGCTGTCGACCGCACGTCGTTGTGCGTGAGAAACTGCAGCCGCGAGCTTGTCGGAATGACAACTTGCAATACTGAACGTCTTCTCTTCGCCGGATGAACGCTCGCGAAGCCAGATGCGCAGCCTGTGCCGAAGACCACACGCGCGCGACCCACGTCGGCCAGCAGCCTAGAGAGCGACAACCGATGGTCATTACAACGCAACACTTGGAACAGTGACCCTACAACGTCATCGGGCGATCGAGATTAAGAAACGTACAAAGTCCGTCCGACCCGTATACCGTCATCAGATACACGCCGTCTGCCAGACTGACCGTCAAATTGTCATACCTGCTGAAACGAGCGAACCGCCGGCCGAGAATACAGAGACCTCTTCACATCTGTTGAGGCATGTATTGTGGAGGAGGGGGCGGCATCATTGAAGGAGGCATCATACCCGGCATTCCCTGTGGTACGTATCCAGGTGGTGGTGGCGGGGGAGCGAAGCCTACTTGTGGATTGAAGACCGGAACGCCGGGGGGTGGGGGCGGCGGCATGCCCATGGGCATGCCTTGTGGAGGCATACCCTGCATATGCGGTGGCGGCATGGGTGGTATCCCGATCGCCTGAGGGACAATTGTTTGTTGAGGGGTGAATCCGGCGGGTGGCGGAGGTGGTGCGGCAGCGAGTGCGCCGGCGAACTGCCCTTGGTACGGTCCTTGGAAGCCAGGCATGGGTGGACGCGCCCCGAATGCTCCCATCGGCGCTGGTGGCGGACGCGCCGCGACAGGGAGCGCGTTGTTCTTCCTGGCTTGGGCGGCGAGGAGCCGCTCTGCAGGAGTGCCATGCCGTTCGCCTTTACCATCTTTTTTGAAGGCGTACTGGACGGCAATGGCCTTGTTCATAAGGAATTGGCCGTTCATGGATTCGATTGCCGCGTCCGAGGACTCGAAGTCGGTGTATGACACGAAACCGTAACCTTTTGATTTTCCCGACTGCGGGTCTCGCGCAATCTAGATATACCAGGGACATTGAGGAGTTGAGCATTACGAGAATAGAAGGGAGGGAGGCAACATGGCGAACAGGGCAGGCAAAGGACGGATATAGGACGTACCTTGGCAGTAGTGGCCATCATGCCGAAAGCGCTGAAGGTATCGTACAGCAAACGTTCGTCCACATTTTCGTCAAGGTTTCCGATGAATAAGTTCGCGCCCACGTCAAGTTGCTTCTTGTCAGATGACGCCTATAGTCTCCGGAGAAATGGCCATATGAGCGAGATTAACAGTAAGACAGTCGAACGAGACGAGGAAATGAGGATGAGCTCGCATTGACGGAGATGATATCTACAGACGCACCTTGTTCACCCTAATGGGTTTTCCCCATAGTTTGATCTGGTTCATAATCTTGCAGGCATATTCTGCATCCTCCTCGGTCAAGAACTCACAGAAACCATAGCCCTGGTGCGCCATAGAAATACGATCCTTCGGTAGGTGCACATTTACTATGTGCAAGTTTCGTATAGTTGAGTCCGCCATGTCGGGAAGCAGAGGAGAACAGTACGCACCGACTGGTCCAGCCTGTAACATCAACTCCCATATGAGCGCATCCGAACACCGCTCGTCCAAGTTACCCTGGGAAGAGTCAGTGTTTACAAGGCGCAGCTAGTCAATGCAAAGAATAAGAACTTACAAGGTAGACGGTCGCCTCCTGATTCCGGTCATCTTGGGGTCGGGACATGATGGTGGTCAATGAACACGCCGGGAAGAGCGTCGAAAGAGTGTTTGTGACCGTTTGTCACCTTCGCGTCACCTATGTCACTGTGCGCTAACTGCGCGCAACTTGACTCTATCGCCCGGCACCGACAACTTGTTGAATACATGCAAGTGTCGCAATACTGTTCGCAAGGTGCAGGTATGCTCACGGGATTGTTTTGCTCGCTAATAGTGGTCATCAGTGGAACTGAAGTCGCACTTTCAATTCGCGCAAAGTTGGCTTCCATAGATCGCTGAAGACCATCCGACAGGAATGAGAAGTAGGTGAGATGCTGCACGAGGGCTGCGTTAAGCCTCCAGAAGGAGCAATAACATAGTGTTACGAACTTGTACGTGTTGATTTGCTACCACCGCCTGCTCATCGCTGCATCTCAGGGGCGATAGGTTGGCATAGATGATAGATCTATAGAACCTCTTCGCGGGCAATTTCTCCCGTGCAGATAGGGACGAAGCACCTCAGAATATGTGAGTTATGCGCCTCCGTCGTATGTCCACTGTCTACGGCAACGGACGACGTTTAGACACCTGCGGCATGTCTGAATTATCGCGCTTGGTCAGCCAACAAACAACTCCGGCCGAAGTTCGAACGCCGCCCGCGACAACTGCGAGGCTACTAACAAACTACTGGACGCATCTTTCCCAGTCGCCCAGCGTTATCAGCATGCGTTTTCATCTGATTCTGAGGTCACCCATATCTATTCATGATAGCACCATTGGCACTTCGCGCTCGCCCATGCGCCCCTCGGACGCACGGAATCTACATCCGGTGCAACAACGCCCAAGCCACGCAAAATCCCTCTTGCCCCCGCCAAACCGCCGGCATCGCTGCGCACCGCACGGCGCCCCCCCAACCCGTTTCGTCTCGTCTCGTCGCCATTGCGCCTAGCACCGCGCGTCATTGTGCGCTTCCGCAGGCGCGCCGTTTCATGATATCGCACTGATATAGACTCCCTGCCCCCTCCCCTCGGGATAAGTATATAAGAATCGCCTCCAAGCCGTCCTCTGCTCTCCGGGAACCACGTTTGTTGCACGCTGTTCACTGCCTGCCACCTGCCGCACGTTGCCCTTTGTCTTCGCTTCGCTGCCACCTCCTCGCGTTCGCCTTCCTTCGTTAGCATACTGTCCATCATGCAGTCCCGCATTGTTCTCTTCTTCATCACTCTCATGGCACTCGCGCTCTTCGCGTCGGCCAACCCCGTCCCTGCCAACGACGCCGTCCTCGTCAAGAAGGCTCTCAAACAGTACGACGCTCGTCGCGGCACCCAGAAGCGCCAGGACTACAAGCCGTCCAAGTAAGCCTTTTCGGCTGCCACACTGGTCTCCAATGACCGTGCCCGTACTCACTTGCTTCCTAGGGTCTACCGCGCTGCTCAGCCTGACCCGACGGCTTAACGAGGTCGCACATCACTACACTACCCCCATTCGACTCCCTTAGGTGTGCCCTGTCATTTGTCCAGTGCTTTGACTCACAGTGCTCACGATGGATGGTTCCAGACCCTGTCTCTCTGACCCTGTGTTCCAATATGTGTTCTATTGATGACGTGGACGAGATGATCATGACTCTGGAATGACGGCGATGAGACGGACTGACGGGCTCGTGGCTTTCAGTCTACTACATGGCTGAATCTATGGTCCCCCGTCTTGTTTATCTCATTGAACGTGTAACTTGTACATTTTATCAATGCCAGTGAAGTACAAATCTCGTGTGTGTCTTCACACGTGGAGGGGAACATTTGGATTTGTCTCGTATCCAGACCCAGCGCTCCACAATCCCATTGAAGGCCTGAGGTTCCAGCTGTCCAGTTGCGATCACTCGGCCCCATATTCCTAGTAGCCTTGTACTAAAGGGGTCTAGCTGATATTCTCCTCGGTGGAAGATCCCAAGACATCCCATATTATTAAGAGGTTACCCTTTTTCAGTATAGTATCCAGAAGCTCCTCAGGCTGTGGACTCTTCGACCGGACATGCCATGAGTTCCGCATCCTACCAGGTGGAAGAGACAGCTGACAATCAAAGAAAGGACAATGCTGGTTTTGTAGGAGTGCATTGACATGGCGCTATAGTGTAGTGGTTATCACTTGGGATTCTGATTTATCAATCTTCCCAAGACCCAGGTTCGATCCCTGGTAGCGCCTGTCTTACGGATTCTTTTGCTCCTTGGGCTATGAAATCAAGTAGTCCTGAAGTTAATAGGCAGTGTGACCATGTAATAACCTTTTACAAAGATACATGTTGTAGAATTTCACATGAGCTCAACGTATACAGGGACTACCAGCGCCTGAGCAGAATAACACTCGTAGCAGCAACACATACAAGAGTAGTCGAAAATGTGGAGGGCAGCAATTGCAGTGCACCGTTCGATCCGGGTACCGGGAGGAAGTGACTTGAATCCGCTTCTTGCTGCTGAGCAGATTGCTATTGGAAACACGACGAGAATGCGTCAGAGGGCGACTGGGTACAGGGCCTAGGAGGAGGAGTGTACACGTACCTTGAATGCGACGAGGCCGATGATGACGCCAGCTGCGAAGAAGGCAAAGGCCTGGATGAGCCAGATGACGCCCCACACTGACGATCTACAGTCAGCGAAAGGTTGTTTGAAAGATGATGTGGGAGTGTATGGGTACCTTGTGAGGGACAGCACCCGCAAATCTCGGCGAAGGACGAGGCGTCGGACCCATTCACTTTTCGCGCTATCGTGTCGTCTGAAGGAGGAGAAGGTTTAGAGTTGCGCTGCAGAGCGTGCGTGAGGGACGATGGGGAACCTACCGACAACGTCCCACAAGACGTACATGTCAGACATGACACCGATGAACAGGACCTAGAACCGACGTCAAGGTCAAGATGTCAAAGAGCCAACTCGCAGTGGGGCAATCGCGGACAGGACTCACAAAGTAGCGCAATGCGACTCCTTCGCCGACGAACCAGAACAGCACGATGAGGCCCGACATGCCGAGGATCAGCAGCCACGTCCTGCACATCCAGATCTTCAATCAGCACCATGCCTCCGCGCAGCCGTGAAGACAAGAAGCAAGAATAGTGCACTCACACCCAGCTCTTGCGCGCCCACCAGAGGGTGACGAGGAAGAACGCGGCCATGGCGAGCGACGCGACCTTGCTCGCGTTCGTGTTGAACCCGCATGCGATGAGTGCAGCACCGATCAAGGAGGAGCCCAAGTAGCCTGCAGGGAGGGTGATCCATGGTATACCTCCGGACATTCGTGTTGCGCCGCCTTCGTCCGCTATTCGTGCTCCGTTCAGCCCGAGTCTTGAACGACACACACAGGAGATCGGAACGATATTGGACGTACGGTCTAACTCGATAGAATGTATGTGCGCACATGTGAGCACTAAGGGGGTCCGTCGAAAATTAGGCCACAGGCTTGAGCTTGGAGGACGAAAGAGGACTCACCGCCGGCAAACGCATGGCTCATCTAGACACCGAGCATGACATCAGCTTCATTTCAGCCCTGCTCCGGCAAGCACGACTCGAGACGCACGCACCTCATGGAACCCCACTGTCAACAATCTTCATCAAAGACATCAAGCAACGCAGTTAGTCCCAGTTGTTCACACAATGCCCACACAACGCCCACACGCGATCCACAACAGGAAGCGAAGGGAGCCGTGAAGTACTCACTTGAACGGATAGACTGCATCGGCGTATGTCGCGCACGAAATGAACACGAGGCGAAAGGCGGTCAGAACACCGCGGACATACGATCCGGACGAGTGGAGCTGCTACTCACTCAGGGCACTTAGATATGGCATGTGCCTGCCAGTGCGTACGGATTCCCGCATTCAGAAAATCTCGACGTCCGCCACCCCGGAACGAGGTAAGCCACGCACCATAGTATGAAGATCGCCACGACGTAGCAACCCGCTACGATCAGTGTGTTTCGTTGCGTCTCATTTGGTGTGAGGTTGTCGCGCGCGTCTCGCGCGAAGACCGCGAAGTTGTGTTCGGGGTAGCCGTGGACGTAGGGCATGGTAGCAGGTCGTCAGCGTCAGATAGCGTGGGCGGTACAGACAGCAGTAAGGAACCAGCAAGCACAAGATGAGATGAGGTAGGGATATATAGCACGACCCCCGGATGACTGCGGAGGACCAGTGCACTGTGCGGTTAGGGAACAACCTGGTGTGAAGTTCAATTCTGGGGCACAGCTCAACTTCCCCGCTTGGCATTCTCTGCCTCCGTGCCGCTGCTCGGCCTGCTGCGTTTAACGATCGCAAGACATTGACGCACACGTCAGGGACAGGATTGTGTGTGTAAAGGAGTCATAAGTTCGTAACGGTAAGATAAACATGATGCTAGGATACAAAACTACGAGAGAAGCAGTGATGGTATAGCCGAGACACGTCCAGAGAGAACATAGCGACAGAAGTACAGATATTATAACAACAGCGAGGATAGGAAGAGGAACGACGACCGACACTCAAAGCTCGTCGTCGGTAACGTCCTCACCACGCTTCTTCCGTGCCATGCGCTCCTTCTTGAGTTTACGTGCCTCAGCCGACGTCAACTTCTTGTTCTTCTTCGTCTCGATCTTGTTACCCATCGCATCGTACTGATCGTCATCCTCTCCATCCTTCTTGTCGATGCGGGGACCGGAGCCCTGACCCTCAACCCAGTTGTGGCCGGAAGCCTCAAGACGACCATCGCGCATGGCCCAGACCTCAGTGCACAGGGACTCGGAGAAGTCGCGGTTGTGCGTGATGACAAGTACACCACCCTCGAACTCCTTGAGAGCCTTGATGAGCGCGGCGAGCGACTCACGATCGAGGTAGTTCGTCGGCTCATCCAAGCAGATGACGTGAGGGCGGCGCCACGTCGCAGCACCGAGCACGACCTTGACCTTCTGACCACCCGAGAGACCACGCATAGAGTTGTGCGAGACAAACTCCGCCTCGAGACCGAAGTCCGCGAAGTGCTTCTCGATCTCCCGACGAACGAGTGGGCGGAGAAGACCTAGGCGCTGTGCCTCACGAGTGTCGACCTCGAGCACTTTCTGCATACATAATGATGTATTAGCGTCGGAATAGGATATCAAAGAAGCATAGAAAACCGACCTTCTCGAAACCACGCTTGAGCAGCTCGTCACGGGGCATCCAAATATTCTCGGACGACGACATGTTCTTGAACGAGATCTCGTACTCGTAGGACTGCTTGAGCTTCTTACGAGTGATGATCTCGTCAATGATGCGCTTCTGGCCCTCAACAACGACGGTCCCGCCCTCCTTCATCTTCTTCTCCTCCTCCTCGGTGATCTGGCGACTTGCCTTCATCATCTCCTCAAGATCTTCACCGGTCTGGTAACGCCACAACATGTACTCGAGAGGGGTCTTGTCGAGGTGTTGATCGATGTGGTGGAACGCGTGCTGAGCGACGTAACCGATGACCAAGTTAGGGTGCTTCCAGATCTCACCGCCCTTGTTGGGCTCCATGTCACCAATGAGGAGCTTGACGAGAGTGGACTTGCCAGATCCGTTGGGACCGAGAACGGCAACACGAGAAGAGAGTGACACTTGGAGGGTGATGTCGTAGAGCTGCTGAACGGGCTGCGTGGGGTACTGGAAGCCGACCCTACGCATCTTGAGAAGGGACTTCTCCTTAGTCTTGACACCGTCGAGGAGGGGCGGGTCGGGGAGCTTGAACTGGTAGTCCTCCTGAGCCTCCAGTGTGTAGTACGAGCGGGCCTCAGGAACAGCCTTCATGAATGACTCGAGGTTACCGCGGTAGCGCTTGAGCTTGAAGCGGTTGAGGTGAAGGACATCGGTGATGACGTTGTTCAAGAAGCCCGAGTCGTGCGAAACGATAATCGACGTGCAAGTCTTGAGGCCGGTGAGATAGTTCTCGAGCCAAGCAACGTTGACAACATCCAAGTGGTTGGTAGGCTCATCGAGGAGAAGAATGTCAGCCTTGAAGAGCATAGCGCGAGCGAGCGCAAGCTTCATCTTCCAACCACCAGAGAGGCTGCCAATGGCGTGCTTCTGCCTCTCATCCGAGAAGCCGACTGAGGCGAGGGTCTCGATGACCTCCTCCTTGCCAGCCTGGATACGCTTGTCGGCAAGGATGAAGTCGAGGACAGCAGTGTCGGCCTCGCTGCCATCAATGTCGTGCTCGACGTAGAACGTGCGGACTTCGTCGGGAGATGGGAAGCCCTCTACTTGACTGTGGGATGAAATGAGTCAGCGTTTACCATGGGTGGAAATTTTCGCGGTGCTACTTACCCGTTGGTAATGGCGCGCATGAGAGTCGACTTTCCGGTACCATTCCGACCGCAGAGACCGTAGCGGTGACCACGCTTGAGACGGAGGGTCGCGGTGTTGAGCAGGATCTTCGCACCGTAGGCGAGTGAGAACTGGCAGTTGCACAGGTCCTCACCCTCCTCTTCGTCCTCAGCGACGTCCTCTTCGTCATCATCAGCAGACGCCGACTTGACAACCCACTCGTTGACGATGGAGATGGGTTCGGGCGACGACGTGAGGAAAGCGAGGTAGGGAGCAAGCGATTGCCACTCCGAGACGTCGAAGTTCTTGTTGTTGACGAGGTTGGCCGCAAGGCTGGCAGCGTAGATGGCAGAGACATCGGCGACCGAGGGAACGGGGTTGGCGCCGGCCTTCTTGTAGATGCCAACGAGCGAGTGTGCAAGGGTCTTCTCATCCGCACGCTTGATGGGGGGAGTTCTGAACCGTCACCGTGCGGGACCTCACCGACCTGGCGAAGAGTCGCAATAGCACGAGCAACAACGCTGCGCGCCTCAGGATCACCCATGGCAGACTCGACCTTGATCAGGCCGGGCAGGAGTTTGGGAACGAAGGGGCGGACAGTAACAGCGGAGTCGACGAGCTTCGACATGTTGTCGATAATGACAGCAACCTTACGCTTGGTCGCGGTGAGCTTCTCGTTGAGACCACGGGACAAGAGAGGAACCATAAGGGAGAGGGTGGGAGAGTCTACTTCTGAAACGAATGTAGTCGCCGAGAGGAGCGTTATCGTCTTAGGCACCTCCTCGACAGGGTTGATTAGAGCCTTGATAAGAGCAGGAATAAAGCGTTCTATGTCCTTGTTGGAAACCAAAGCGGTGACCTTTTCAAGCGAATCGCGGGCGGCCTTCTTCACGTCCGCCTTGGTGTC